CTGTTAGAGTCACAGAGAGCATTCTTTTAGCCATTCTATCCATTGTCGTGTATAGTTCCAGTGCTGGATCTACGACACTCGCAAGAGCTCGGTAATTATTAGTTTATGGCCAGTACTTGGACGAATGTGAGTTCTCTCTGGATTTTTTGAAATGTAAGAGGCCCCTTGAACAGTTTGCTTTTAGCAGGGTTCATCTCGCCACAAGCTGAATATGTTGTCTGATATTAAATGGCAATGTTGTATGGAGAAATTGGGGATGGGAAACAGTCAAGCACTTTTTCCTCTGCCGGGCAGCTTTAGTCAGTCTGAGATCAAATCAACTCGATAGGCATACCTTCGCTGAATTTTTTGAATTCACTGGAGATCATATAAGCTTCGTTAAGAAATTTGTGATAATCTCAGAGCACTTTTTAGGTATTTATGTGTTTCTGACCCATATCTTGGAATTTTGGGCAGCACAAGGCACCGCTTTACAGGAAGAACTCCTAGTGAGCTTTGGTACCAAAATCAAGTTCATTAACTAACCTAACATAACTTAGCCCTAAATATTTAACCTACCCAATTACTCAGCTAAATCACTGAACATATTATGAAGTTTTCAGTATAACCAATTTTCGGCTCTCGACATCGGTGAAGCTTCAGCTTCGCTATCCTTTAGATGCGCATCTATCTCTTGAAGCTCTAGTGTACAGGATAGTGAAAAATCGACATGAGAACATGGCATTCAGAACAGCCTTTGTTTATACAGCAAAAATCATGCGAAGCTCCAAGAGTAGATGAAGTTTGGAAAGTTTTAGGTCGTTCAAGTGAGCTACAGTGAGTACAGACTCGTATCGACTTTTCGTGCTGTTTACACAAATTTATATTTCTTCAAAAATTCTACTTCTGTGCCGCATCGGTTTGGTTGGTTTACGAGGGAGGAACAGGAGAGCCAGATCGCATGTCATATAAAGATATATTTATAAAATTAGGAATAAAATACTAATTTATAAAATTATATAATAGAGATGTTGCCACCTGACTTAATTTACAAAATAATTTTATCAAAACAATTTCCGCTGTTAGACTTTTTTATCCCTCAAATTTAGTTATAAATCAAAATAATGATTTTAATTATAAATAATAAAACTAATTAAATAATTATAAACAGTTTTCAAGCAAATTGAATTTTACTCACCATTCGCCTCTCAGTTATACATGCAATCAGCTTATTTAATGAGTATTTCGTCACGGAAAGCTTCAATTTTTTTTTTTTTTTTTTTTCGGTTTAGCAGATTAATAGCGTAGTTGAAAAAGCAGGATATTTGTGAATATTTGCTATATATATGTGTATTTATTTTTTCCTTATTAATCCTCAACACTTTCTAAGATTATTCTTCACTTCTTCTCTTTTAATTTAAATCAGCAAATTAGCTGAACGCCAGCACTTTCAATTATGTAAAAATTTCTACATTAAATCGCACTTATTCGCATTTGCATAACCACATTTCCGGCACATTTATTTCGCCATCGCTGTAACGGGACAAAGAAAATAGTAAAGCATAAATATGCATAAATTAATACGATTAAAAATGCAGCGAACGCTTGAAATTTAATCACACTTGCAAAGTTTTAATCCCAACAAAAAACCAAAAAAAAAAAAAAAAAAAAAAAAAAAAAAAAAAAAAAAAAAAAAAAAAAAAAAAAAAAAAAAGGAAATGTGCAAAATAAAAGTAAAAAGTGGTTAAAACGAGAGGAAATTATAATAATTATTGCCGCAATTGCCAGCCACAACAACCACCAAACTGAATGGACGGAAATGAAGCGTGTGTATGTATGTGTGTGTTCGCCTTAACTATCTACTTTCGACGGTTCGCTCTGGAGGTGATAAAGGATGAAATTTACATAGTACAACACGCTATACAAACATTATATAAAGGTCAATAGCGTTGAGCTAAAGACAAAAGGATATAAGAAGAAATTCGTAAGATAATGATTTCCAGAAGTAAACTTGGCAAACGGTTTTGCATATAAATTAGAATTTTCCAATGCGACAGTGGCTGCACAAAGGACAGTGAATGTATTGAGTGGAGAATGAGTGCTTAAAATTCCAAAGACAATTTACAAGGCATGGGAAATTAAGAGAGAATAATCTATAAGTATGCACTTAAAAAAGGATTACTACTTAAATCATCAATTTACTATAAAGCGGTGATCCAAGTTGAGCCTGTTTTTTCAGTAGCCCTTTTTTTGACAGAGCACACATGAGAGTCGAGTCAAGCTGTCGGGTTATTTTTGTTCAGTATTGCTTGGCATTTCATCATGGAAAGACTTGCGCTTAAGCAATGTTTATAAATCCTTTAACAGACGCCGCATTCATTATTAAATAATATTCGACTGAAAAGACGACGTCCAACAGTGAAGAAGAGTTGCTAAGCTGAGCGTGTACACGAAGATCGTGGAGAAATTCTGGCTCAATGAGTATGTAAACAAGTAAATTTGCTGTATTTGGGACGTATAGCTTTAAGAGATTTAAGGGCTGTCATTTCATTCAGAAAAAACAACGGCTCATATTTGTTGGCGACATTTGGTTTTAACAAGACGCCGCTACTTCCCACACATCACAGCAATCAATGGATTTATAGAAAGAACAATTTGGTGAGCAGATAACTCAGATAAGTTACCGGTTGAAATGCTCGATCGAGTCACTGAAAATTAAACTCAACTGATGGATCACCTGAAACAGAGTCGCGGCCAACGGTTGAAAGTGGAACTCTCCACGAATTGCTGCCAAGGAATGATCTTACGAGTGATAAGAAACACTCCCCAATAAATTTGAAATATTTATGTTTTTTTTTTTTCTAAAAAAAAGGAATGATTCTCAAAATGGATTACCCTTTATGTGTATACTTCATCTGATTAAGAGGTCAGTAGGGTAGTCTGGCCCGTTTTTTTTACATTTTTTTTCATAGAAATTTTTATGCTACAATAGAACTTTTTTCACATTTAATGAGGTATATCGTGAGGTGTATGAACAATTTTGTAATTTTTTGATGACATCTATCGGAGAAAGTGCTGGGTGAATTAGATGCGTTTTCTTCACTGGCGGACACGGTTTCTCATGTTTAGATCATCTGAAACACAAAAACCTAATTTATTCTTAAAAAGTACGTGAATGGTTATCGTCAATACTAGAACCATGAAAAAATTAATTTTGATAAATAAAAAAGTTTTTTTTTTTTAATTTTAAATTTTTCCCATGTTTTTTTACATAAAATTTGTCACAACATTGTCAATAAATTATAAAAAATTATGAATCTTGTAGCGATGATAGCTAGGCGTTTTCTTAACTTTTGAAAAATAATTAAGCAAATTGGTGAAGTAGTTCGATCGGAATCATGCCCGCCAGTTCAAGAAGTGTGTTTTGAGAAAAACGCGTTTAAAGTTTGAGGTGTGTACTCCGAGCGCTCCGAACGTCGAGCGGTATTATTATTTTTGGGCCTTTTTCGAAACCTCACAATGGTACTGCATGGTACAATGTACAAATGGTCTACATTAATTCTAAGGGTATAACGAAACAGAAAATGCAAAAAAAAATTTTTTTTTTAAGATGACCCCTTAAGCCTGTTTTTATGCCACCTTGTTTTCCGAGGTGTAAAAGCATTACAAAAATTCACGATGTGAAGAAATGCATATGTGACCTGGTCTACGTAAAGGGTTCTTAGGTGTCAAAAAATCAATTTTCACTTTTTAGTTGATTCGGATGGAAGATGAGATGCTTTTTTTTAACAKCTGTTTCCCAGAAAACTAGTTTTCGCACGTTAGCTCCCTTTTCGTAGACCAGGTCACATATATGTACGTATATTCATTCACAAGTGGCAGGGCGCCATTAATAATTACTTCATTTAACATTTTTCCATTTTTTAAACAAAGTTTTGCAATAATTTTTTTTTTTCAAATAAAACATGGAACTGATGTCTCCCACTTCAAAATGCACACATATTTCCACAAGTGCTGGCTAAACTTGACAATGAAAGTAGCCACATGATCATATGTACATATGTGTACGTGAGTATTTCAGCTACAAGATATTGTAAACAGAAAACGAAACCGCACGTTTGCGGCGACCTCCTGCCCAACTTAAGGCTGTCATTCAACCAGACATTTACATTATGTAAATTTTGAGCGCTTACAATACACGAGTTCGTGTTTTAATTTTTCTTACTTTTACAATAACAAATAATATCAATCGATGTGTGTGTGACTACATATATAAGTTATATATATATATGAGAATATAAATTTGTTTTTATGTATGATGTATGTATATATTTTTACGTATGTGTGAATGTGCTGCCCTTGTCTTGTCAAATGCTTCAGCGCAGACAACTCGTGCCTTGATGAGGGCAACGTATTTGGAACACGCCTAAGTTTCGTTAGCGCTGCTTCCAAAGAAAACGTGATATAGGCGATTAGGTTCATGCATATGTGTTTGTTGGTGTGTGTGAAAATTGTGTATTTTTTGTCGGTTGTGTAGTGAAGACCCAACTTTACGCGTTAATACTAAACAGACTGTATTGCAATGGAAGCAGGGAAGCTGTTGGCGAGTGGTGAACTGCGAGGAAGGTCAGCAGCAACAATTCCAGATTCATTCAAAATATCTATATGTATAAAAGGCTGTGCACTCACATACATACATAAATACACATATATATTTTATATACAGACACAGCAGTGTGTGCTGGAGTAAATCCTGGAAAGTTCTGTGTACGTACTCCCCCACGCGGAGTTCATGTTAACAACTCAACTGCGCAGCAGAGCATTGTGGCGCAGGACAAACCAGCAACAACAAGAAACAACGTGAAAAAGAAAACGAGTTTTATAGGTTGATGTTAGTTTGAAGGATTTTACACTTGCATGGCCAACTGTTAGGCAGTAACAGCGAAGAAAACTCAAACTCAAATTCGAATATATAAATTTTGACGCTTTGAAGTTTTCACTTTGCTATTAAATATTATATTACTTTTCACTTTCCCTTCAGCACAGCAACAAAATACACATAATATGTATGTATGTATAGATATTTTCAATTATTTGTAGAAAAGACAACGTTTCACTTGGGCACCGCGCTGTCTCAAACTTCACCGACAAACAATACCCGACGCACTGACGTGTTCCTGCGAACTGACCATTCTTTCAGCCAAAAACATAGCTTCCAAGCAAAGCTCCAACCGAGCGCAAACGAGGCAATGACCGAGCGCAGCGAACGCGCTAGTAAAGAGCGCAATAGAGATTGAGCACAGAGAGCGCCAATGAATTAATAACAATACCGTTATGTTATGCAGCGCAGTTAACTGATAAAATTCCTCAACCCGGATACTACTTTCAGTCAACTGAAGCCTTACCGCGTAGCGCAAGCGGTATATAACGTTACTCTTTCAACGCTCTTCGTGCTCGTCATGGCTTTAAGCGCTCTCTTTTATGAATTTCGTCGTTTTCCTAACCGCATTGTCTGTATATGTGTGCACCTCAACCGGGCATGTCCTTTGTAGTTTATTTTGTTGTTTTTGTTGCTTTTTCGAGTTGCACGCACGTCGCAACTCAAAGTAGTAAAACTTTATGCTTTTTTTCACAGACAACTTAGCGTTTTTCCAGCCACTTTTGCTGTTGAGCTGCTTCCTTTGAGCGCGTTACACTGCGCACGAATAGTTCGCATTCCCTTTTAAAGCATTCGACATTCTTTAATTGCATATATTGTTAGCGTTTCTGGTTTTTGTCGGTGTGTGTCGGCATTTTTGCACGAAAATTTAATCGTTTTTGTACTTCAATTAAATGAACAAATTGTTTTAATTTTTGCAATGAAGCAAAATGTCAATTTCAATCAAGTCAGTTAGTGCCATGGCATTGTGAATGGGAAAAAGGGATCTCTTAAGTACTAAAATATGAATTTATGGTAAATAAACAAAACTGTCGATTCTTGTGCAAAGAAAATCCACAAATTATTTATAAACTACCATTACATTCACCTAAATTGACAGTTTGGTGTGGCTTTTGGTCTAGTGGAATCATCGAAATGAGGCTAGTGACACTGTTACTTTAAATGAAGCTTGGTATAAGATCTATGATAATCAACTATTTGCATACAAAATTAGAAGAAGTCGATTTTGACAACATCTGGTTTCAAAAAGAAAAACCAAAACTTCAACCAAAGGATCGGAATCTAAGCAACTTTATACAATGTTCGAAAATCCTGATAATAGTTATATGGTGGCTAGGTCAAGTTTCTATCCAATTGTATTTATTTTATGCAGGAAGATATACTGTTTTGAGTAAAATACGCTCTTTCATTTTCACTGAGTTAACTCAAATATAAACTCACCCCGAAATCCGAAAATCTTTATATTATGTATGGTCTACAACTTTGCTTCCGCCGGGTTTTTTGTAAATTTAAGGCTTTATTCTATAAAAATTACCCAAAAGTGTTTTCCCTTATTCCCTCAAACAGCAATGCTTAATTAACACACGAAATGCTT